AGTGTGTGTATGTGTCAGTGAGTGTATGTGTGTGAATCTGTGTGTCAGTGTGTGTATCTGAGTGTATGTATCTGTCAATGTGTATGTGTATATATGTAGGTATGTATATGGCAATGTATGGGTATATATGCATACATACCAGCAATCAAACAACAACACTACATGCAAACACACCCTTTGCAATCAGATGTAAACATTAATTTCAAACATACCGCTGAAGTCAAACACCACAATTATATACAAACACACCTTCATTCAAACACCAATACTGTGCACAAATGTAAGCCAACACTACATACACACACCTGCATTCAAACATTACATAGAAGTACACAACTACTTTCCTACGGTACATACAATTACACCCCTACATGCACACACATATTCCATACAAAAATATACTTACATTCCAACACACAAACACTGCTCACAAACACAACCCTACAAGGATGGCAAATGGTAGATCCTCAGCAAGCATAGCATTGTAGGAGTTATACCACAGATGGGGATCTACATTTTGGCCATCCTTGAGTGTACACTTTGACTCATTGCACAAGCACTGGGTTTTTAAGTGTAACTGCATCCACTGGATGTGCAGACTACATGCTCCTGCACAGAACCACCAGGGATGCTGTCACACAGAGACTACTAAGCATTATACCCACTCCCTGCAGAAATGTAAAGAGGAGGGGGGTAAAATACATGTTTAAATATAATACACACCGCCCACACTCAGACAACTCTACGGACAATCACACTCAGCTAACACTGCGCTTATTCACACTCAGACAACTCTACGGACAATTACACTCAGCTAACACTGTGCTTATTCACACTCAGACAACTCTATGGACAATCACACTCAGCTGACACTGCGCTTTTTCACACTCAGACAACTCTACGGACAATCACACTCAGCTAACACTGCGCTTATTCACACTCAGACAACTCTATGGACAATTACACTCAGCTAACACTGTGCTTATTCACACTCAGACATCTCTACGGACAATCACACTGAGCTTACACTGCGCTTATTCACACTTAGGCAACTCCACACACAATCATACTCAGCCAGCCACCCCAATCACACCCAGACACCACCTACATCCCACATCCCAGATGAATTGCTCAGAGGGGAGCAACAGTGAGGACCCTTCTGTTACTCTTGCTCCGAGGCCCAGTGGTTCTTAGTTATGTCCCTGAATTTAACATCAGTCGTTGATATCTGATTACATAAAACCTGTACGTTTCTCAAAATCACATTTAACACAAGCAATATTCAGTTTTCAAATATCTGCAAAATGCTAGAATAGTAATGAGGGCAGGGGGGGAAACAACGAACGTGTGTACCTCCCTACAGCCTTGGAAGCTGTTTGAAATTGTAACCTTGTAAACTACAGGTATTGTTTGAACCAACAGAAAAATAAATGGACAAAAAAAAAATACGAGAATCTCTTTACCTAATATTAATCCTGTTTTTCCATTTATGTCCTTGCACATTGTGAAACGTCTGTGAGGCTGAATGGATAAGTTGTGATTACAGAAGGAGATCTTTGGATTGGTAGCCATTTATACCTCGTGTTTACATTCTGCTGGAGAGAGTTCTGAGACGGCTCATTCTCTGCACCCTATAGGAATATATAATTAATGAGAAAAATGCACAAGTGGGTACACACAAAGCCTTTGTTTGTATAAGTGTGAACAAGCATATGGAAGCAAAGACGAGAACTGAAGGAGGCTTCAATGCATCTGGTTTCTACGTAACCTTGATTTTAAGTCAAGGATTAAATTGCTTAATTTCTAACACAATGCCCCGTGTTCAGCTGATTCCGTGGGTTCAACCTTCATTGGCAATCACAACCAAAACGAGGGCAAAGTATCTCATCAGTCTATTTACAGCTGACATGTCAGCGAATACATAGATTAATAGGATAAAAACAGTGTATTATGCCAACATCTCATTTTGTAGACAAACAAAACTATCAGGCAATGTTTAGGAAATGATAAATACATTTCGAGTTGTAGGTTCTGCCTCTGGTGGTTAAAACATAATAGTGGAATAGTGGCCTTGGCGTGGGAGCCTAGAAGGAACTAAGACGGGCAGAGGAGTATGATGTAGGCAGATGAGTGTGGAATTGTAAGAGTGCTCTGATTTTGGCAGATCGGGGCAGCTTCTATAGAGAAAGAATAATAACCTAAAGGTGGGAGAAAGACCTGCCACAGGTACATGAATCCAAAATAGGGAACTGGAAGGAGTCTTAAGTTGGCAAAGATGAAAAGAGCAGGTAGGGGCAATAGGAGGGGAGCATTCTACAGGCTACAAACCATAGCAAGCAGTAATGTAAATACGCTGCAATGGCATACCTCCCAAGTGTCCTGTATCTGGTGAGGCAGTCCCAGTTAGACATTCCTGCTCTGGGATTTTAATCTTGTATTGCATTTCTGAAATTCATACAAAACTGTGCAAAATGAGTGATAAAGTGAATCTGTAACGAGAAAAAGTGGCTTACCTTAAACCGCTTTCAAATACATTGATTACATCATATACCACAAGGATGCATGGTGTGTTCAATGTAAAATATAAAAAGTTCCTTTGCCTGTGCCGCTTTGTGGGTGTTACTCTTCCGCCTGTGCTCTACCTCTGTCCTTCTTTGAGTTGCCCTACTTGGGACGCATCCCCAAGCGCCCCAAGTAGGGCAGTGACATCGGCACACTGGCTTCGTTGTCAGGATCAGAACGCAGTGACGTCATATCACTCCATTCCTATACTCTCTAGCAGGCGCTAGAAGCATTGGCTAAGGAGTGTCCATAGCAACCACTGCGCATGCACGCTGTAGGCACGCTGAGGAATTGACTGACAGCTAGGGGAAAAAGACTGTTTCTAAATAGATTTTCTGCAAATCTATACATTTGCTTGCAAAACTGCTAAAACGATGTACAGATAAAATCTTATACTTAATCTAATGAGCATAAGTTGTTTGGGGCACGACAGGTGCCCTTTAAACACACTGCGGCAAGGTGAGCACTTGGGGCATTGCCAGGCCTGATTATCAAGTTAGAAGGCTGGTAGCCAATCTCAGATATGTGCATGCCCACTCTTTGGCCACAGTATGCTCACTAATGTTTCAGTCCATAAAAGTCCATTCTGAATCCTCCATTACACACATTTTATCAATCTTGGAGGAAATGCTGACATCAGCTCCCTAGGAATCCAACCTCTAACTCGGAGATATACAGCTGGAGCATTAACCACTGAGATATCACAACAGCAGTTGTTATGGAACAAACAAAGTTTGTTTCCTTGAGCAACTCAAAGAGGAATCAGGAAGGCTGAGCTTTACACAGAGTGGTTGTTGGGAAGAAGATTCATTTTCTGCAAGAACCGAGGACATTCATTATCATTCTCAACAGATGCTGCTTCTGAATATTTTTCTTGGAGTCATTTACTTTGTTGAAGTCAATCCCATTATAGATGTTCTTAGATATCTCTGTCCATCATAACAGTCATAAATTATTTAACTTTCCTTGCATACGAGGGACCGTCTGCTAAGTGTCTGCCCTTTCCCCCCTCCTAATGTTCTCGTTTAAACTTGTGGGTTTTTAAAGTGTATATATAATGGGTGGAAATTGTATTTCTAATATAGGTTATTTATGTAGTGACAGATGGACATTACCTTCCGCATAATAAAATCCCATCATAAAGAAGGCGGATAAGAAAAGAAACATGTTTTAACGGCTAGCACTGAAATATCTTGTTTAAACACACTGGGTAATCTAATGAAGAAGGATTGAAGATGTTTTTCTCCAATGAACTTGCACTAAATCAATAAGAGATACTTATCCCCACTGAGTCATAGCTGACACGGGAAACTAATTCAACAGTTATTTTAAAAAGTGTTCCAACCGGACTGACAGGACATCTTTGCATGTTATAGATAAAGTTTAAACTATACGTTGTGTCTGCTGAAATTCCTACAAATGTCTAGATTTTATTAAGACACGGAGGCTCCTATTATGCTGCACTCTTTCTTTATTTACCTCAGCAGCAAAGAAAAATAACATTAAATCAGTATAAAAGAAACCAGTAAATAACATGAGGTATATCTTCCTAGCAACAGCAACAGCCAATCAGCATCCTCTTTATAGCATAATAGGCAGTGTCCAGTATACTACTTCCTCTTTCTTTGCTGCTCCCTCAGTTAAGTGACACTGGGTCCCATGGTTCTTAACTTTGGGATCTTTTACTTTACTTTATTCATATCATTACTGTGCTTAATATAGTTATTATAGTTATTACATTTTAATTATAATATTTTCATGTTTATACATATATTTACTTACTTCATTTTAACATAATTTGATTTATTTACTTCATTTGATTCTGTTATATGCTTTATTATATATCCTTTGATAATTTATTTCCCCTCTGACCTCCCTGGCCCCAAGAATACCATCAATTGGGGCTCAGGGGCGTCTTTGATGATCTTTATTCCCTGCACAGGGCCATTGTGCTGTTTTTTCCCTTAATTTATCTGTCTGGCTGCTGCTCTGCCACCAACTGCCAGAAATCCAAGTTGGGGTTTAGTTGTAGTGGCAGCCGGGCAGCTCCTTTGTTTTTATATTACAATTGCTATTTTTTGTCACTATTGTGAGTACTTTCATTTCTTTATCCTGTTTAGTTAGTTATTTTTTACTTGAGGGTTACTCAACCCTTTACTTTTGGTATTATTTTGCTTTATTCATCCCCTTAGGTTTGTTTGTATATTTATGATGCAGTCTGACAGGATCTTTCTGTGCCTTCTGGGTCTACAGCAAACATGCAGATTAATGTAGAAGCCTCTCCAGGTATCTCTGGAGATGAGGCTGAATTTCTGCTTTACTGATCCTGCTGACATGCAGGCTTTAATTGACACTTCCATGGCAAAAGCAATGACAAGGCCCTGGTGTCAGGCCACAAGGCCTCATATAAGGCTAAACACTCCTCCAAAACAATAGAGATGGACAGTACCATACCTGTCATGGATGGCGCGATTAATTTACCACCGCGCAAAAGAGCTACTAGTCGGGCAAAATCGACTAGACTTTGGAAAAGGGCAAAAGCCCAATTAAACTCTGAATCCAAGTTCAGTGATATTGAGGAGAAGTTCACCGAGTTCTATATGGAGGTGTACCTGTACTCACACCTGCGCTGCTTCAGCCTGGCCGCAAGGCCTCATATAAGGCTAAACATTCCTCCAAAACAATAGAGATGGACAGTACCAAACCTGTCACGGATGGCGTGATTAATTTACCACCACGCAAAAGAGCTACTAGTCGGGCAAAATCGACTAGACTTTGAAAAAGGGCAAAAGCCCAATTGAACTCTAAATCTGAGCTCAGGGATATTAAGGAGGAGTTCCCTGAGTACTATATGATATTGAGGAGGAGTTACCTGAGTACTATATGGAGGTGTATCTGTACTCACACCTGCTCTGCTTCAGCCTGGCCGCAAGGCCTCATATAAGGCTAAACACTCCTCCAAAAAGATAGAGATGGACAGTTCCATACCTGTCACGGATGGCGCGATTAATTTACCACCGCGCAAAAGCTACTAGTCAGGCAAAATCGACTAGACTGGAAAAGGGCAAAAGCCCAACTGAACTCTGAATCTGAGCTCAGTGATATTGAGGAGGAGTTCCCTGGGTCCTATATGAAGGATTCAGAGGATATTTCTGATCCTGATTATGAAATTACTGATGAAGAGGATGCTAATCCCGTTTGGGATACACGTCCTGTTAAACCTACCAAGATTTAGGTAGATTATGCAGACTCAGGGACACCGATAGGATCTTGGACACTCAATGTGAACCCCTATTCGAACCTGACGACCTATGTCATCCAGTGGTCTTCTCAGACCATGTAGCCAAGTATATTGGCATCCAGAGTACGCAAGCCTTTTGAGAAGGCAAAGTGAAATAAATTGCGGGCTGAATGGCCATGCCGAACAGTCCCTGATGACTCATGTTAAACGCTATCAGTCAATCCTAAAAGCATTCAATTCCTGAGTAAGACAGGATGGAAGCCATCTAAAGGCTTAGATTTTCATTGCAAAACTGTCAGGATAAAATCCTGGGCATCTTGGGCTCAGCAGCCAAGATCTTTGAAGAAGTGGAGGATGATCTAGAATTAGATTGCGCCATCTTAAGTGGTTAGATCCAGAGAGTAATTTAAGTTGGCAACGCCAACAATGCAGTTGTCACAGAAAGCCACAAATCGATCTTGCCCAAGATTGAGCCCAAACGAGCCAGATAACACAGGCAAAAGGTTCTCTCTTTGGGGACAACTTTGTCAAAGAATTGGGCTCCTTTGTCCTGCTAAACAAACAGAAGTTCTTTTAGACAGAACCAAGGCTCTTATACTTGCCGAGCCGATTTCTTTGAACAATGTACTATACCAACCTCCTTCTCACAAAGTGGCCGACCCTGGATTGTTAGTGGCCTAAGAGGTGCTCCTAAGACGTCTTCACAATTTCCATTCTTTCTTACTGATAGTGGGGGCAGGCTCACACATTTTTCCCATGTATGATCCCTCATTTCATCAGATGCTTAGGTTCTTCACACTGTGAAAGGGTATTGCATAGACTTCCTTTCTCTACTTGTTCAATGTTCCCCATCAAGGGAAATTGTTTTTTCCCAATGAGACACAGACCTTGTCTCTGTGGACAATCAATTGTAGAGATTCTGGCGCATACCCTGGGTTACGTGAGCAACCTTTTCTTGTTTCCCAAAAAAGGCAAAGGTATCCGTCCAGTAATAAATTTGAGACTGCTCAATAGTTATGAGCATATCAGCACTTCCAAGATGGAAGGAGAGCATTGTTTAAGGGATCTTCTCCAACCAGCAGATTGGATGGCCAAATTGGATCTGCAGGATGCAGATCTCACAGTGCCTATCCCAGTACAACATCAAGATCGAGAACTTCCTGCAATTTACATGGTAGGGCAGTAAATAGAGGTTCAGGTGCCTCCCATTCGGACTGTCTTCAGCTCCATGGTGCTTCACCAAGCTCACATCTTAGAATATATTTAGATGGCATTTTCATTCTGGTTCAGTCTATTCAATTAATCCGGACATACCTTGCATGGACTTTGACTCTGTTAGAGAACCTAGGCTTCTTGACCAATTGGGAGAAATCCATTATCGTTCCCACGCAACAAATACAATTTCTGGGTTATATTGGATTATTGTAGATTCTACCCTTCAAACTCTACACCCTCCGGTGGCAAAATTAGCCAATATAAAGAAGGAGATAGGCGAACACTAGCAACCTCTCAACTCTCTCTCTCAAACAACTGTTGAGAATGTTAGGCCTTCTAGCGGCATCTATACAGGCCATTTCTACAGGTCTTCTTGGCTATCGAGCCCTACAACGATTACAAACTTCATCTCAAGGGCAGCACATCATACACAGATATGGTAACTCTGGACTCAGAATCAGAGAATGAACGCCAATGGTGGCTTCTTCACATGGAAGCTTGGAATAAGCACACCATATTTTGTACAGCTCCAGATTTGATAATCAAATCCGACGCAAGTTTGCACGGTTGGGGTGCTCAATGCAGAACTATTTCCACCAAGGGCAGATAATCAAACCTGGAATCAACACTCCACATCAATTGTTTGGAACACCCGGTTCCTTTGCAGTCCATAGTTTCTCCCCAACTCAAGCCCAATGCGCTATCCTTCTGAAGATGGACAACGTGTCAGCAGTCCGCTACATCAATCACTTGGAGACACAAAATACAAAATTCTGACCTACATGCCTCGTGATTGCTGGCAATTTTGCCTGAGACACGGCATTTCAGTCACGGCAGAATATATTCAAGGTCTCTCCAACACTACGACGGACTGGTATTCACGCCAACTCGGAGATTCCAACGACTGGCACTTGGATTCCATGGTCTTCCAAGACATCTGGAACCTATGGGGTCTATTGGAAATAGATCTTTTCGCTTCTCGTTTGAATGCTCAACTTCCCCGTTTTTTCAGTTGGAGACCAGATCCGATAGCATTGGCTATGAATGTTTTCTCCAAGGAATTATGATTTTTTGCCTTTCCATCTACATCGCCAGTCCGGCACCTGTTGATCGTGGCTCCTCTATCGCCATCCCAACCATAGTTCTCTTTTCTTCAGGAGATGGTTATCGACCTTCCATCTCTCGAGTGCCTTCTTCAGGATCCAGATGGTGTACCTCAATCCTCTTGTTCTCCAAGGTCTCTTGCATCTCATAGTGTAGTCTATTTCAGGGAACCTTGGTCGGTCAAGGGAGTTTCGCAATCAACTCCCCAACTTATCAAGGGTGCACCCAACACGAGACAGGCTTATAAATCTGCTTGGAGCAGATGGCATAGTTGGTGCATGAAAATAAATTTAAATCCCATATCGGCTCCTTTTATGTCTGTCCTCCATTTTTCTGACTTCTATGATGAAGGTAAAGCCTATCGCACTGTGGACCTTAACGATCGTCCATTTCTGCTGGCCATCAAAGTTTTGATTGGACGCCTGTCGGTTGACATCCTGTCATATATTGACTTCTCTGAGGAATATGGTTTGCTCATTCACCCTTACCACGATACTCTGTCTTGTGGGACGTCTCTGTCTTGAATTTTTTATTTATTTTTCTTGCAAGAGGTTTTTCTGACGTACGAGCTCGTGAGGTGGTTGCTCGTTCCTTTACTCCAGAAGGTGTCCTCTTTGACATTTCATGGAGGACAAAAACCTCCTCTAAAATCTATCTTACCCAGTTTTCCCTGATAGATCTCTCCTTTACCCTGTTTCATACTAATGGGTGTGTGAACATCGTTCTACTACGTTACAGAATCCTTTGAAACAGGAACTCTTCCAAAAGTCGCATCTTCCGGTGTCTACTCTAGCCTGGTGGGTCAAATACGTTATGTCTCTAGCAGGTATTGATACCTATGTATCAGTGCCTCATTCGGTTCGTAGGGCAATGGCTTCTAAGGCTTCCTCGATTGGTTGTCGCTTGGAGGATATTATGAGAGCAGCTGGTCTTCAGAGTCTACATTCCATGATTTCTACTTTAGACCTATTCAACACTTCACAGGAGACATAATTTCACAGCTTTGAACTAGCATAATAGGAGCCTCCGTGTCTTAATAAAATTTACAGATTTTACTATTAACATGACGTAAAGTCATGATTTTATTAATGACACGGAGGCGAGTATTATCCCTCCCTCCCATCCCTGGAGATTTGGTCTTCTCTGGGTAAGTTGACTTCACGGTAAGTCTTTTTTGATTACTGGGTTTTATCCTTGTTAATGACTGTCAAGAGCTTAAGGTTTGACTAAACTGAATTTCATGTTATGTGTATATATATCTGATATTTCATGTAATGCGAATTTATGCATAAATCCAGTTTTATACTTGGATATTACCATATTCTCTTTTCTCTTCCAGCTTGACTTCTAGATCCAGTTTAAGGCTCGTATACCCTCTAATTGGAGCCCACTTTTTATTTGGATTTGTTGTCCTTGTTCGGGATCGCAAGAAAGAGGAAGTAGTATACTGGACACTGCCTATTATGCTATAAAGAGGATGCTGATTGGCTGTTGCTGTTGCTAGGAAGATATACCTCATGTTATTTACTGGTTTCTTTTATACTGATTTAATGTTATTTTTCTTTGCTGCTGAGGTAAATAAAGAAAGAGTGCAGCATAATAGGAGCCTCCGTGTCATTAATAAAATCATGACTTTACGTCATGTTAATAGTAAAATCTGTAAATTATTTGTTTAAAATTTTTAGCTGTGCGACATGACATCACAATGCCGCAGAGAGACTTAGCTATGAGTTTGTTAACGTTAAGCTGAATTACTCATGAGTGACATGACAATAGTTAATAAAACACATTGCTTCATCTTCTCATTACCTTCATGAGTTCCCTATCAAAAAGGGTCATCACATTTAAAATGTTGAGATGTTAAACAGGTAGAGTCGTAATGTATTCAGGAGAGGTTAATGTGAACACTATAGTCACCTACATTACTTTAGCTAAATAAAGCAGTTTTAGTGTATAGATCATTCCCCTGCAATTTCACTGCTCAATTCACTGTCATTTAGGAGTTAAATCACTTTGTTTCTGTTTATGCAGCCCTAGCTACACCTC